TCTGCACTCTTGGCTTGAAGGGTCACAATGGCATTTTGCTTGTGAATGCTCCCCCTAGGGGGAAGTTCACCTCTTTCTTTTGCATACAAGACACCAGAAAAGCTCAGGTTTTTCTATACCTTGCCAGCACTAAGCTGGCAGAGAAAGGTTTATGCAACTGGGACTCAATATAGCTGGCTGGGACTGCAAAGCCACTGTAAATTGGCATGTAGGTTTAAGTCAAGGGCTTCAAAAGAGAAGCCCCGTGTGTTTACAGTCAGCAGAGAGATTTCCTTTATCCCTGGAGATAACTGCTGCCCCTGGTAAAGGATATGATTTTTCCTCTCTCAAATACAAAGACATTCTGAGACACCTTCTTTAAAGGTCAGATAGTCAGGTTGCAGTGAAAAGTGGCAACAAAGGAGCATGGAGTCTAATACCAACCATGAACTATCAGATCATTAGATCAGGCCTTTCCAGGCCCTTGGCTTACGAGGTTGCACTGGTTTTGAAGAAAATGGCATTATATTTAATGGGAGGTCATTCTGGAGAGTGAAGCTCAGTCCCCTACCTCTCAACTGAAAGGTCATGGGTGGATTTTCAGGGTGTCTATGGGAGTCAGAAACATACATTCTGTGAAGCAAGTGAGGTCTTTGCACCTAAACTCCGTAAGTGACATAGAAAGCAAAAATGTGCCATTCTGTCTGTTCTGCCCAATGAAATGGATCAGCTTTGCCAGGGCACATAGCTGATATGCTTCATTTGCCAACATCTGCTTATAGCAGGGGCAGGCAATTATTTTGGGCGGCGGGCCGCTTACCCAGTTTTGGCAAGCTGCCAAGGGCTGCATGAGTAGCCCCACCCCCTGGTCACCATCTTGGGACCAATGTCCCAATGTCTCGGGACCAATGTCCCAGGGCCAGCACCACTGGGGCCCAGAGCAGGGCTCAGGCTGGCAGGGGTCTATGAAGCTGGACTGGGCACCAGCAGGGAGAGGGGGGAGCTGGCCCAGCTCTATAGAGCCCCTGCTGGCCAGGATCCCTGTACTGCTGCTGCCCTGCTCTGGGCCCTGCCTGTGCTGGCCCTGGGACACCGGTGTGGGACCCATGCACCCGCTCACTCCCAGCATCCCCCCAGCCCCCCGGTATAGGTGGGGGGCACTGCATAGCCCTGACCTCCTGCTCACCAGCGGGGAACAAGCTGGTGCTGAGTGTGGGGAAAAGCGGCCCCTCGCCCACCCTGTGCCCAGTGCTCCATGCTGCAGCCGCTCGCAGTCCATGTGGGGCTGACTGTGCCTGCCCAGGGCAGCCGCTGCAGCAGGGAGCACCAGCCACGGGGAGGGGGAGAGGCAGTTTTTCCCTGCGCTCAGCTTTTTCCTGGGCCCCTTCCCTGCCTGGGCCCCTCCCCACCCCCCCTTACCTGAGGTTCCGGCGCGGGGCAGCCTATCGCGGCTTCTGGCTGAGGGGGTGGGGCCAGGCAGGCCCTGCTGTTCCAGGAGCCTGCCAGGCTTCCCCTGGGTCCTATTGCCCCTGGTTCCTGTCATTTTTGACAGAAACCAAGGACAGATCAATATTGATTTTCTAAATTTTTTAGGGGCCCCGTGGGCCAAATAGAATGGCCTCGCGGGCCATATTTTGCCCACCCCTGGCTTATAGCCACTCAAAGTCAGCATCGGTTGCCTGCAGGATCACCATGAAGCATCACCATGAAGCCTTACCATGTAAGGCACCACACAGTGCAAGATAACAAGGTCGAACGGTCATAAACTCCTTGACCGTTTCAGGCTGGACATAAGGAAGAACTTCTTTACTGTCCAAGCCCTCAAGTCCTGGAATAGCCTGCCACCGGAGTTGGTTCAAGCACCTACTTTGAATGCCTTCAAGAAAAATATGGATGTTTATCTTGTCGGGATTCTATGACCCATGCTGACTTCCTGCCCCTGGGGCAGGGGGCTGGACTTGATGATCTTCCGAGGTCCCTTCCAGCCCTGTCTATGAAATCTATAAGTATCAAACCTACAACATCAGTGTCTGCACTGAAAGTCTACTGCACTTACGACAGAAACTGGAGTTTGCATTTTGGGTCCTTCAGTCCTTGGCACAGCATTTCCATTCCTGCATCTCCCAGCTCATTCAAAGTCAGGCTTATTCGTCTGAGGGACTCTTTTGTACCAATAACATTGGCAAGATCCTTACAAGCTACAGCTGTGAAATGACATTCCCATAACCTAGAGAGAACAAAAGAAATATTTGCCGGTGCCAAACTTTTCCCAGTCAGGGACCAGAAAGGCCTATATCACCCAGACAGGTAGATCTTCAGAAAGAGCTTTTACTCTCAATTTCCTCACATTTCACTCTCTGTTTTATATGCATGTGCACACACACAAAGGCACAGGAAATCACAGTTTTCCCCTCCTTCCCTCTTCCCCTTCCCTTAGAATCTCTGACTTTATTTAAATACAGAAAGAAAGTGGCTCTGCAACTCATCTGAAAACTGATGAGAGCTGGCATGCCATCATCCCTCTTCAGCAG